CACTCACTCACTCACTCACTCACTCACTCACTCACTCACCACCATCGCCACCGTCACCACAATCCCAGCCTTCATCACCACCATCACCTCTCTGGACCCCAATGCGTCTAGACCTCTAGACTTTCTGCTTATAGACCTCACACACACTGTTTGGGGTATCTTGCCGGGATAATTAATGTCAGTTTTTTTGAGTTATGAAATGGTTAAGTTTGTTTTCATTTCGTTTCAAAGCGGTGCACTTTGCATGCCAAACATACTGTCAAAGGAGCACAGCACTCCTGAAGTTTGTGCTGATTATTGGCATAAGCGCAAATCCAATACGCGGAATCCGCTGCATGTCGAAGACTTGCATGCTGCTGAAGGCAGGCGACGAAGCGACACACCGCCTCCTGCGGTAGAGCCCTCACTTGCGCATCCCCCATTTCACTCACTTGCACACTCTCACTCACGTGCGCATGCGAACACAAAAAACAAAATAACTTTCACTCACTTGCGCACCAACACGTCACCGTCCCTGCTGACTTTATGCTTGCAGTGAAATTATTTATTGCCCTCCCAACAATTCAGTGTCACTGATGAAGTTATGCTGCCAGTGCAATGATTCAATACCCACCTGGGAGATAGGCAAATGAATAGATAGATGGAAGGATCAGGATGTTCAGAGCAATAAATACACAGATATGCAAAGAAAGATAGGTATACGGTAAACAAGTCGATAGGTAGATAGATAGATAGATCGATAGATCGATAGATACATAGATACATAGATAGATAGTTAGATACAGCAGATAGATAGATAGATAGACAGACAGACAGACAGACAGACATACAGACAGACAGATACAGTAGACAAATGAAGTGGGGTGCACAAGCGAGGCAGAAGTGGGATGGACATGCGAGGGAAATTTAGGATGTACAAGCCAGTGCACGCCCCTTCCTGCCACGCGTGGCTGACGAACCAGCGTGGATATTGAGCTTCTGCATCTGTGGCCAGCAGCTCGACCAAGCTGCAAGTGAAGCGGAAGGTTGCTGGTTTGATTATCCACGCGCTCGTATGATACAGGTTGAAGGTGTCTGCGTGCAACGGCTGCTCAAAATCGGGGCTTCCCGAGAACCTGGCATGTTGCGCTTGATCAATGTGCCTGAAAGCATCATCAACTACTCGAGCAACTGCAAATTTCGCGCATTGAGTCAAGGCACGTTTCGACCCAGAGATGTCCGTGGTCTTTGATGAACCCCAGTATCAGGAGCAATTGTTGCAGATTGATGCCACGGTGTTCTGTTTGTGGGATCTTGAGCGGGCAATTTCCCAAGGAATCATAGCTCACCAAGCTGTACCTCAGTGACAGGACAGCCACAAGTTCAACACAAGAAGACACTTGGTTAAGACACCAAGATAGGAAGATAACAGTCGTAACAGCCTTTCAGGTGCAGCTCACACATCTTCCCGTTGCCAAGCAGCGAGGCAGCTTGCAGGGCATCGCCTGGCTTTAACTGTACCGCGCCTCGCGAAAGTAAGGTGTTCTCGAAGCAACCTGAAGTGGGAACATATGAAACTTCTTGGCGATGAGGATATTCTCAGAATTTACTCCAATTAAAGACACTATATACTATATACCCCCAACTGAGCAGTGTCAGAAATCCAGTTGCTTGGGGGTTCGCCTGTTGGTGAATCGTAGCGAGCTGGTCAATGAAAACTCCTACAAATTAAGGGGATGAAGATCTTACTGTGCGTTTTATTGCGATCCCAGTGCTGCTTAGGAATATGATCATCGCATTAAACGTGGTTTTCAGCCGCATACTCCGATGAATGAGGGGCCAATACGACTTACTATCAGGACACTGGAAGCAACAACTCCATTGTATGATGTGCTGTGCTTTTCAAATGGCTCACCTGGCTGCATCTTGTGCGCAGCGCTAATGGCATCTTCCATTGTCGC